CGCAGGACGTGCATGTCCTTCCTTGGCCCATATCCAGCCAGCCTCTCTTCCTCCATGGAGGAGTGAGAGAAGGGGAAAGACGTGGCTTGAGTGTCACTATAATTTTTTTTAAAAGTCCTTCATATGAAAGGAAGCACAAGAAGTGCAAAATATGTCACACCTTTCTTCACCCCTTTTTCACTAAAGTTTAAAATGAATAACTATGCATCATCTACTTTGTCCCGGGTACCATGTTGGTGCTTGGGTTACAGCAGTGAACGAGAAAGGTACCAACAGAATTAGGGGCAGAGCCACTCATTTCCCAGCACAACCCCAGCCTCCAGGGGGCTCACGGTCTAGAGTGGGGAACAGACAGGAGGCACGTAGTGGTAGGTGCAGCCTCCCAGGGACTGTGGAAGCAGCCCAGACCGGGAGGTCCAGGAAAGGCTCTGAAGAAGGCATGTTGGCTAGGATCAGATGGGACTTCATCGGCCACAAAAACAGGAAGAGGGTTTGGTGGAGGTGGAGACAGGAGTGGGAAAGAAAGGGAAAGCAGAGGAGATGGTTACAAAGAAAGGGAACATAAATGCTAAGAGCCTGGTGCATCCACAGAGCAGAGAGGAAGCTGGGCCACTCTGGAGAGCTGGGAGTAAGAAGGATAGCGAGGTACAAAGAGCCAGCGGAGGTGGCTGGCCCGCTAAACCCAGATTAAGAAATCTGAATTTGCTGAAACCAGTTTGGCTCAGTGGATAGAGCGTCGGCCTACCGACTGAAGGGTTTCAGGTTTGATTCCGGTCAAAGGCATGTACCTTGGTTGTGGGCACATCCCCGATGGGAGGTGTGTAAGAGGAAGCTGATGGATGTTTCTCTCTCATCAATGTTTCTAGCTCTCTATCCCTCTACATTCTTCTCTGTAAAAAAATCAATAAAATATATTTTTTTTAGATCTGAATTCATGCCTGGCTGGTGTGGATCAGTAGTTGAGCATTGGCCTATAAAAGAGGAGGTCACCATTCCATTCCTGGTCAGGGCACATGCTTGAGTGGTGGGCTCAATCCCCAGTGGGGGCGTGCAGGAGGCAGCCGATCAATGATTCTCTCATCATTGATGTTTCTATCTCTTTTTCCCTCTCCATTCCTCTCTGAAATCAATAAAAATATTTTTTTTTTAAAGAAACCTGCCGAAACCAGTTTGGATCAGTGGATAGAGCATCAGCTTGTGGACTGAAAGGTCCCAGGTTCAATTCTGGTCAAGGGCATGTACCTTGGTTGTGGGCACATCCCCAGTGGGTGTGGGGGGGAGGGTGCAGGAGGCAGCTGATGGATGTTTCTCTTTCATCGATGTTTCTAACTCTCTATCCCTCTCCCTTCCTTTCTGTAAAAAAATCAATAAGATATATTTTTTTTTAAAAAAGAAATCTGAATTTGTTACTAAATGCACTCCAAAACTCACCAAATATTTCAAAAGTACATACAGAGGCCCAAGATTTATTCAGCACTAAATTTTCATCTGCTTTCCTCACCCTGCCTCGTGCTAAAGTACAAAGCGGATTGCCAGGGTACCCAGGTGCTGTGGTGTTTGGAAATATGAATGGGATTAAAGCGAGAAGCAAATAATGACTCTGAGAGAGAGAGCGTCGCCCAAAGAGAAAACCAGAGAGAAAAACACAACATCACGAGGACTGGAGGCAGGCGTGTCAGCTCTAAAAAATGATTCTTCAGGGAAAGAGACGATTTAAACTTGTCAACGTACTTTTTAAAGGCAGCCAAATGCAAACAAAACCCACTTGGAGGTTTTGGCAGTGCTTTCATTCTCGCTGGGGAAAAAAATAAAAGAGTCTGCATTATCAGAATCTTATTATCAGAAACATCTAGACCAAAAAAGGCTCTGTTCTATTTTTAATGTCACCCGCCACAGCGAGGCTGACCCGAAGAGCAGTCATTAGTTAGCCCCATATATGGCACCTCTGTTTCAGAACCCAGTTCCCAAACCCGCAATAACACATGGATACCAACGATGTCTGTGACGTTCAAAGGCAACTGATCGAGATGCAAGCCAGCCTACAAATATGAGCCCCCACCCCTCAGCGCTCTCCACATAGCACCATGGGATATCAAAGCTAGAAACCTTAGCGACCACCTTGTCCTACCCTGTCCCTGTACATTGGAGACAACTGGAGCCCAAGGCCTACAGGGATCTTCCCAGCATCACACAGCGTGCCGGTGGCAGAGCTAGATTTAGACCCCGGACGCTTACTTCATTCGTGCTTTTACACTCCCCGGGCTTCAGACAATGCCCTGAAAGCCAGCTTAGAAGCAGGGGCGACCCAAAGACAATCCATGCGCTGTGATCTCAACTACATGTGAAGCAGAGTAGACTAATGGGCTGAGGAACATGCCTCTGGAAAAGAGCGTAGCTCCTAAAGCAGCATGCTTCTGTTGCAGGGGTGGAATCTGCCCCATGAAGGTGACTATGTGGTAGAACAAGGTCAGAATGTGTCCCGTTAAAGGCAGGCAGATCCCAAAAGGAAAGCCAGAGTGAGACAAGCTACTTATGTCAACTGCCTTTTCCCAAACTCCTCCATCAGTGAGGCCATCTGTCTGGTTGGGGTGGAGGAGAGTCATAAAAGGTCCATAGAAAACAAGGAGAAAGGAGGTCCCTTCTCTAACATTTCAAGATAATTTTTAAAATCTTAATTTATGGAGCTTTGAATCATCAACCCGGGGTATATTCTACCCGTTGTGAGAGAAGATCAGCAATCTACCAAGAGATTCTTGCTTTCTTTCTCATGAAGTCACTTTCACTAATAACCAATATACCTAAGGGTATCCTATTGATTAGCTACATATCGTATATTTTGCTTCCGGTATGGGTCAGACAGATATTAACTGAATGAACTCCATGTCCATGTTGTACCTGAAACTGGAAAATGTATCCTCTATTCTATCAGATTATGTCCAGCCACATTATTATCTAAGAGAGCTTGATAAAGGTTCTGGAACAAGATCAAAAGGTGACATAAATGATTCTCCAGCTGCACAGTATGGCAAATATAGAGATTTCTACCCTTGTCAAATCACAGTAAGAGACAAAGGCACAAAGATTGAGTGCTCTTGCATGTTAAAGCCCAAAAAATTAATTTCTAAGACAAAATATTAGGCATTTTAAGTTTAAAGTAGATTTTTAAAAAGTAAGACCCAAATAAAAATTAATTAAACTACCCCTCCCCCCAGTATTGTATTCTTTACAATGACACTGAGAATTCCCGATGCCTCTGGAAGGTAGGGGTTTTCTTGGCACTGACACCCTGGGCTCTCTACTATAATGAGTGTATTTCTGTTAGGGACTCAAAACTTGTGTAAGACTAATCCAAAATCTCTCATAAACTCCCCTTTCTAAAGAATCCAAAAAAGTAATAAGGATAAGCATTATTTTGACACCAACAGCACACCCACAAAATTTAAAAGTAAAAAATTTCCAGCCCCTAAATAATTTAAGTAAAATTTTATTCCAATAATTGACACAGGAAGAGAAAGAGTCTGGAAAGCATGAGCATCTGGTTTATGAGCATGCTGTTCCGTCTCGGTAAGCCCCCCAGGGCCTCTGACCTTTAAGAGAAATCTTCCATTAAGTATTAATGGCATATTTTCTATATTTAGGGGGAGAAAATCTACACTAAGCTATATTATTATTTTTGGTTTAAAGGGCTGTATTTATGAAACTCCTGTCTTCTATTTAAAGTATAGAAATATTCACTGTTACTAAAGTATAGAAACACCCTTTCATTAAAAACCTCTTAATTCCCTTCATCATATTGAACTCAGCCTACAAAATCCACATTATCTTTGTGAGCACACATGCACATTTCTGAGACAGTGGTTGCTGTGTGTTGCTTAGGTCTTAAGAAATCTGCCTCCTAGATTTCTCCTCACCCAAATCTTAGTTTCTGTGAAATAATCATCCCCAGCATATTCCAGCACCAAGACTGCTGTTGACGCTTCAGAAATGTTTGTTCTAGGGACCTAAAAAGGGCTGCTACCTCTGCTGTAAGCCCCTCAAGACACGCTTTGCTCACTATAATTATCCTGGTCTTGAGTAGCGCTTTTTTCTGTGACATCCTCCTTTGCAGGAGTGAGCTATGCCTTTGATGTGTCTCTTCTCTCTGTTGTTCTGCTAAATTGTACAGGAATGCTCAACTCAGTTTCTAACTATTTAATCTGCTTTGTAGAGTGGCCCCATTCCCTCCCTAACAAATGGAAAAGTTCTACTATTAGCTGGACTTGAATTCCTTCTTTTTCTCCTTTGATTTTTTCCCCCTCTGCTTTCTGGCCAAAACATGTATTCATCTAATATTACCCTCTCGGTGTTATCTCTTATGGTTTCCCACAGTGAGAGATATGAAATTAATAACTTTAGGGTCAGCCAAAAGCCTCTCGATCCCAATAAATCTTGTCCATTGCCATTTCCCGAGTTCAGTCACCACACCCAGGAAATAGTTTCTCATCAGACTATGCCCAGGCTGAACTTAACGTACCATTATTCTAGGTTCCCTTTAATATGTGTTGTGGTAAGTAGAATCAAAAAATAGTCTCCAGGCATGCCACCCAAATCCCTGGAACCCTGAATATGACATCACGTGGATGATTATGTAGCATGACACGGCGAAAGGGATGCTGAAGATATAATTAATGTTTTCCACCAGTTGACATTAATCAAAAGAAATGTCAATATTATCATGTAATTTATCTAGTCACTTGAGTTTAGATAATTGTATCTGGATGACGGCCTTAGAATCCTATATCCGGAAATAGTCCAAGCATGTTCTCCAATGGCTTAGATGGTAGCTGAAGTCCACCTCTAACATCTATGTCACTATTGACCCAGAACTTCTTTGGTATATATTCTATTGATCTCTCCCTTGTCCAAATGAGAGTCACTACATGTCTCTCTCAGTTTCCAGGGCTATTTCCTGGTGAGGACCTAGTGTGGTCATCTCTCAGTGGTTCCCAGAATCCGGCCACTTTCATTCCAGTCGGCTTTCTGAGACCTTGCCTCTTTCCTTGTGTTACATTTTTTTGTATACCTGGCACATTTTTTGATCTAACAACAACTAAAATGCCTTCTTTGAGAACAGTCACACCAAGGAGCAGCTACTCTTACCTTTTATACTGCTTATCTCATTTTTCAATTTTATTAACCAATGTTACTCCAATAAATTCAATAAAAAGGAAAAAAATTAAAATCTCATCTTTCATATCTGCCTGACTGTTCCTGTACAATGTCAACATTTTTCCTACGGAGATATTTTTCTGCTTCAACACAATCTTCCTGGGCTTGATTTCATTGTTCCATGACTCTTGTCGAGATAGTGACATCCATACAAGTCGGGATATCCTACTTCCTCCTTGATTTCCTGAATAAAATGATTCCTAGATGATAAATATTTCAGGCACAGGCAGTTTTCAACTTGCCTTCATAGCCTCTGGGTTTTTAATAATCCTTTCTGAGAAAAGAGATGACTCTTCTTTACAATAAGAATATTTATTTATTTATTTATGCCTGTTTACTAATAAAATCTACCACCACCATATCTGTGGGTGAAGCGACAGTTCTGGTCTTGGGAAACTAAAGCTGTGAGCACAGCCTCAGAATGAAGAAGCCTCTGGCCAGTGTTTGATCTCACAGTACAGAGCTCTCAAGAACCCATAGACGAGTCTGAGAGTATGAGAGATCAGAGCTTGGGGTTCCGCCTTTGTTCCCTCATGGTGGAGCAAAAAGAATATCAGGGAAATTCAGTCTGCCTACCTAGGCCTGACCACAACATTTTAAAGTGAATGTTTTACAAAGTAGGGCTCTGCAGTCCATGAAGAATGTCCCTGCCTTTGGACCATTCTCAAAGTGGTTATATCAATAAATGATGTGTCATTAAGTCCAAAGGGCTCTAATATCTGCTTCAGCCGCTACTGAAATACGAGTACAAGTCCTACCTGTGTGGTTCAAGGTAAATTTTTAGGAGGCCAAAATGAAGATCGAAATGGCTGGCATATTTCCAAGTTTGTTCTTAATTGTATAATAACAGCCATTCATTAGTAGAAAAAGCCTGCAGGTCAACTTACAACTGTCAAATCAAAACCAACCTCATGGTACACAAGTTCCATGCAAATGAGTCAAAATCCCACATGGGTACCATGATCCAGGGCCACGTCCCTGCCCAAAAAATCACCTCCCTCAACTCCTTTTATTTTGCCCCCAAGCATCATTTCTTATCTGTGGTTTAAGATGGTCTATTTTCACTCAATGACAATTTTTGTAGTCAATAAGTAATACCTCACTCTTTTCTATTATGGAGCAAATGAGATGCAGACTCAGGGTTGGTGAGACAGAGATCAAAATGTCAGCTTCATTACTGATAAAAAGTTATAGTTATCGACATGGTTTCTGTGCACAGCCAGTGGGTTTGCTAACACTCTCTGAAATGAACCTCTCCCAAATCACTGCTCCTTTTCTTTGACGTAGAAAGCCTGCCCCGCTCAAATCTGCACATAACAGCGAGTGGGCCAGATGCTTTCTATTTACAGGCAGAAATACGCCTGAAAGAAGAGTGAGGATGGATTGAGCAATCCACCCATCAATTAAGTTGCCTTTTTGCCCTGAGGATGGAGATGGAGAGAGAGGCCAGAATGCCCCTGTAATGGTGCGCTTTCTTCATGAAAACATGAAGTCAAGGAGGAAGATTTCACTCCCAAACAGAATTGGCTCAATTTAGACCATTTCTGAAGAAATTAAGAAATCATAAAGACAGGACTCTCCTAACAATTGACTGTCTGATTTCCAAGGTCAGGGGTATAAGGAATAATTAACAAACCATCTATGCATTCATTCACTCATTCATCCAAGAGCTACTGAAAGGCAATCATGTAGAAGGCATTGTGCAATCCCCTCTCTATCAAATGAAGAAGCCAAGGATCAGAGAAATGAAGCGATGTGACCAGTGTCACCCACCACATCGAGGATGTAGGTAGGACTAAAACCCATCCTTCAGGGCACCACAAAATGAAAAGGCTAAGATGTGCGCCCCTGGGCATGTCACATCTGAAATGCTGTGTTCAGTGCTAGCCACTTACAAGAAGTTAGTGACACAACTGTGACCCAGAGAAAATAAGTCAGGGTAGTCAGAGAAAGCGTGGAAAATATGTTACGTGAGAAGTGGAAGGAAGAAAGCTGTGGTGGAAAGAGTTCTTCTGCTGGTGTCAGATCACCTGGGTTCAAGACGTGGATTCAATCATGGTGAGTTGCTGTAACCTTGGAAGCTCCCCTGACTTCCTGAGCCTCCATTCCCTCTTCTATATGGTGGAGAAGATGATAAACATCACTGCCCTTCTCACAGAATTATATTATATGTGGTAATGGACCAGAGTGATTTATGTAAAATGATGCAATGTTACTATCATCATCATCATCATCATCATCATCATTATTAAAGGTAATGGAGTAAAGAATGTTTAGCAAAGAGATAGAGTTGAGCACTTGGTTATTTGAGATTTTTGTCTCTTATAACAAAAACAACAACAACAAAAACGACTAAAATTTGTTAGGCATTTTTCTAAGTTCTCATTGTAAATTCACTAAGTAATGCTGTGATTACTGTGGTACCTACTATGCATATAAAGAAAATAAGGCTTCAGTGAAGTTGAGAAATTTGCCCAAAGTAGCATGGGAAGTGGGGGAGTCATGCCTGAAATAATGTAAAAATCCATCCTGTTTCCTCTGCACACACCCTCAGCCCGTCTCCTGTAGCCGGCATGCAGCGCTGAGAAGAGATAGAGGCGGTACACAGGTCATACACTGGGATCACACTTCAGTTTGCCTGCCTGAGTCAAAGCACAGCTACTGTTCACCATCAGGGTTCTGCCACTTAGGAGCTGTTGGATATATCAAACTATTGGATCTGTGTCTCCTCTTTTTGCAGCTGAGGATGCTAATCGGTCTACCTTCCCAGATCACTATGTGAGAACACAAGAACTCATGCATATAAGTGCTTGCAGCTGTGTGACACAAATACAATGATCATTGCTGAACTGCTTGTCAGGGGAGCAGAAGGCAGAGCCTTTGGTAGAGCGATGGACCAGGTGGCATGCAGGTCCCCTGCACTTTTCAGAGCCTAAGACACTGTTCCTTCCTCCTTCTCATAGATCATGGGGCAGGCGCTCCTGGGAGCTTCCTGGAGCTCAGCCAGCTACTTTGCTCCACAAGGGTTTTGACAATGGCAAAGGGAATTGGGAAGATAACATCAAAGTGCTGGGTACAGAAGCTGATTTTTAAAAATAGGCACACTCGAGCCGGTTCTTTGAATTTGGTGGCATAGTTAATATATTTAGGGATTATTCTACCGCTTCTTTTAAACTGATCTTTTTAAACTGATGTATTGCACAGTCCTAACAGGCCTGGATTCTAGGAAGCCCATTCTGAGGCAAAAAAAAAAAAAAGTTTTAGCCAGACAGCATGCTGTTACATCTTGAGGGTGAAGATCAAACCTCACTCAGGGTATAAGGAGGGGGTGAGTCTCAACAGGAAGTTTTGAAAGTAGAATAAAAATAGTAGAGGTGGTATAGTTTCCCAAGTTCCATTGAGATCAGGCGAAGTGAAGGGTGTGAAGAGCAGCTACAGCATTCAGACAGAATCAAGCCTCAGACTGACTTGTGACAAAGCCACATGTAAGTCCCAGCTTGGAGGGCAAAGCCCTCCTAGCACAATTATAGTCAAAAGGCTATGGCTGTAAGCTTGACCTTATAGTCAGACTCTGCAGTCCTAGGTAGCTAAGGGGTGTGGGCTGCGGGGGGGTGCAGCAAGTGCTGCCAAAACAAGGCTTGACAGATTTCAGAGAATGGCAACAGGAAAGAAGCAGATTTGAAACTTGCAAGAACATTGTAAACACCTTGTCCTTGTTTTGCTTTGTGTGATCAACTCTAAAATAAAGCTTCAGCTTACAGGTTGTGTCACTGTTTCCTCATTCAGGCACAATGATCCACCTGGTCCCAACTTTATTCTCTTGGCTTCTTTAATCCTTCACACACACACCCTCATGTTCACCCCTGGCCGTACTGGATGCGGTTCAATGGGAAAAGTCAGTATCTCCCCCAAGCCCCAAACTACTCAATATCAACATGGCTTTAACTTAATTAGGAATACTTCCTCTTTTTGGCTTGTTTTATTGAATTTATTGGAGTTACAAAGGTTAAGAAAATTATATAGGTTTAAGATGTACAATTTTATAAGACATAATCTGTATATTCACCACCCCAAATCATGTCTCTTTCCATCACCATTTACCCCCCCTTTACCCTCACCTGCCTTCCCCCACCCCCATTTCCCTCCAGTAATGACCATACTGTTATCTGTCTATAAGGTTTTTGTTTTATTTTTGGCCTTGTTTTTAAAGACAACAATCACAGCAGTAGAAGAAGCCAGGTGGCCACTTGTACAGAATTTTGATGAGAAGGTGAGGTACATCTTTTTGGAAGGTAGTATGACAGTAATGTATATGAGTCGCCCCAAAATGAATTTTGACTTCAAAATCCCTTTTCTAAATGAACTATTAAGGCTAGATCAGATGGCCTGTTTTCTGCGTTTAAAGTTCAGAAGCACAAGAAATCTGGTCCATCAACGCTTACAATCAACCAACAGGAGAAGAAATGTTCAAAAATGCAAGAGCAGTGAAATAACTCATAGCAGACTTGTGAAACAGAACATCGGGTTGCTATTAAACTGATGATTTGGGGAAAATAATGATACAGGAAATCATTATGAGCAACTGCTGGGTGAAAGGAGCAGGTTAATTAGGGAGTCTGAGCTGTGAACACCGTCACTGCGTGCATTCATTTACACAGAAGCAAGAGGACGTGTGGCAGGATGAGTGTACACCAGACGAACACAGTGGTTACCAGGGCCAACGGGATGCAAACCATTTTTAGGTCTTTTCGCATGCTTCCATGTGCTGTCTGAATTATCCCAAATAAGTTTCACAGTAAGTACCTCTTCACAATAAGAAAAATAAATCAATAACACCAGTGAAGGAAGACCTCCTGCTACTTTTTAGAGGCAAAGCGGAAACTGTAGATTTGTGGAGGTATATTTGAGTCATCCAGTAGTCTGCGAGGAGTTAACGGAGTCACCCACATCCTTTAACTGAACCTCTGTCCCTCCTGTCGTAGAAAGATGGGGTTGGGAAGTTCAAGAGAACTAAGTTGCAGCGATGTAATGTAAGCAGGACAACTGCAGCTGCCACTGCTGTGTGAGAGAGGAGGTCCTAGGAGCTCTCTTTATGTTGTGTCTCTGTGAGATGATGGATGTGAACTAAACCCACCATGGTAATCACTCACAGTGTGTGTACGTCCCAGCACCGTGCTGTGCGCTTCATACATGTGCAGCGATGCCAGTCACTGGCTTCTCAATAACCCGGAGAGGAAAGTGAAAACCTATGGGAACCAGGACCCTGTTCAGCCTGGGAGATAATCCCGGCCCTGAAGGGACACTTCCCATCTGGAGGGACAGTCGTTCTGGGAGTGGTTTTCAACTCATTTAGGTAAGATGTGTGTGGAACACCTGCGGGAGGAGATGAAGTTTAGTTTTAAACAGGCTTTGAGGTTAATCTTAGATGGTCAAGTAGAGATGTCAAGCAGTCAGGTGTTGGTGAGCCTGGACTCTGAGGGAAAGTCCTGGGGTGGGAATGGGATTTGCTTTGCTTTCTGGGTTGATTCATTCCTCCGCTGAGCCCCTCAACATGGGCAGTATTCCCTCTGGTTTGTTCCAAAGTGGGTGTAACTTACCCACCATCACATCACCAAGAAGGACTAAATGGAATTTTGATTTGTGTCACCCCTTCTACCCCTGCAAGCCCATACTTTTTGAAAGGTAATCACTCCTGGAAGAGAAATTAGTTCACTTATATTCTTTTAGTTTTATTTCTGTAACCCAGTTTGTGTTCAGCTCAATACAGAATCATAGAGGGATAAACCTACAAAGAACTCACAAATCTGCCTCCCTTCCAACAACTTTATTGTTATTATTTTATTGATTTCAGAGAGGGAGGGAGAGGGAGAGATAGAAACATCAAGGATGAGAGAGAAGCATTGATCTGCTGCCTTCTGCATGCCCTATACTGGGGATCAAGCCCACGACCCGGGCATGTGCCCTGACTGGAATCAAACCATGATCTCCTGGTTCATAGGTTGATGCTCAACCCCTGAGCCACACTGGCCGAGCCCAACAACTTGATTAGGATTGAAGACAATCAGGAGACACTTGGTGTTGAACCCAAAATGGGGCCTTAGAAAAGATGGACTAGAGGCAATAAGAGAAGGGAATTCAAAGAAGATGTGGGAGATTTTGTTAGGGGCAGAAATAGACCATGGGGGACCAGCTATAACTAGGAGAAATATTCATCATGCTCTCTTAACCATGATTGTTTTGTTCTGATTAAAGAAGGCACGTTGTAACCTGGCTGGGAGTTGTATGCCAGAGACCTGGGAGCTCACCTGGAAATGATGAGCTCCTCCACATCCGGGAGCAGTCAGTTAGCATGGAGAGATTATCAACCTTCTTGCAGAAACCAGAGCCACTAGCCCTTTGCCTATCCACAGGCCTTTGCAAACCCCAGCCTGCATTACCTATAAACTGCCCATTCTGCATACCCATGCTTATCCCTTTTGCCCACTTTCCCATGTAATCTTTGTCCTTCTACCCAATGTAAGCAGCTGGCTTATGGGGAGGGAGAGGGAAGAGCAGATCTGTGGTGACCTGCTGCTCTCACGCTGCCAGCAGGACTGGAATAAACACTCATATATGATTCACCCCTGTCTCTGCTCAATTGGCACAAGCAGTGACAGGCAGCGCGGACCCTTGATTGTCCACCTACAAGTTGACAAAGTAGGCCACTGACAGCCTTAAAACATCAGGGGATACAAGATGTAGCAATAAAGCATCTCCCAGCCCTTTCAGACCCATCAGTCCCATTGCATCACAAGTGAACTAAATGACATGCATCCCAGTGGGGCGCCGGGAGGTCCATGTACATGCTTTGTCCCCTTTAGACTCAGCTCCTTGAGAAACATCCTTCTGTATCTTATTCACCTTTGCAACTCAGCATCCTGTCTAATGCCTGGCTTGGAGTCCATGTAAAATGGACATACGGAGAATACATGACTTAAATGCCAGATATGTAAGAATGTGTATCTAGTTTCCTGAAGGAACATTCTGGAAAAAAGAAAAATAATTTGAGTGAAAATTAAGCATCTTGTTATTCTACTTAAACATGAAGGGTAGCAGATTTCTGTGGACATATTTGCATATCTCTTTCTTAAATAGATGGGCCAATTTACATACATTTTTATGTTCCATTCAAAGAAACTTGCTGCCAATATGCAAATTATTCAACACATTGATTTCTCCTTTTCCTCTTTGGATTTATACTTGAATATGTATATTTTATGCAAATTATCTCCATATCCCAATGGTGCCTTTCAATGGCCTATGTTATTTTTAATGAAATTATATAATTATATATGCATATGTATAACATATATTCTGAACTTTTATTAATCAAAGAAGCCACATCCTTACATTAAAAAGTTCTGACTTAGAAAAGTTTCTTAATCTAATTGCATGTTATTTTTTAAAATATATTTTATTGATTTCTTTACAGAAAGGGAGAGAGAGGAATAGAGAGCTAGAAACATTGATGAGAGAGAAACATCAACCAGCTGCTTCCTGCACACCCCCCACCGAAGATGTGCCTGCAACCAATGTACTTGCCCTTGACCGGAATCCAACCTGGGACCCTTCATTCCACAGACTGACACTCTCACCGAGCCAAACCAGTTTCAGCTGCATGTTATTTATATTACTATTACTGCTACAATTGCTGCTTGTTTGCACAAGAGGTCAAAGAGCACAGGGACCAGCCAGCTGGGTTCAAATCCCAGTTCTGCCACATGATGATCTGGGCCACTGACTTTATTTGCCTGAATACCATTTTAAAATGGGGACAATAATGGAACCTACCCCTCAGTGAGGTTGCTGTGAGGATTAAATGAGTCCATCTACATTAAATCTTACAATAATTCCTGGAACATTCATTATAAGCATCATTCGGAGTCCAAAAGGTAAGTATTTATGACCTCAGGCAGGTCACATAACACCCCCAAGCTCCACTATTATCTTTTATAAAATAGAGGTATTTGATACCTACTTTGCAAGTTGTGGTAAGAATTAGTGTGAAAATATGCATCCATTAGGGTCAGGTACTCGCTGAATTATATTTCCTCCTAGTTTTAAAGTAGTGTGTATTGTTCGTTTACCTATGGAAAATTTCGCCCACGGTGAGCCACAGAAACACTCTCTGACATCATTTCCATCCATTATTTTTAATGGAATATGCAAATAGTATTTCTAGCCTCTGATTTTTGTTCTCATTTTATTTTCTTTTGTAGCTTCCCGAGCTGAAAAATCCATCGGATTTTACTTAGTTCCAGGCATTCAAAGGGCACGGGACTCTGAGGGGATGCTGGGATTGCCATCTTCAAGCGATGTTAAGGAACACTATCGGATGCAAATCAGGTTTGGGCTGTGTCCCGCCATTTGTCTTTCCCAGAAGCATCCCTGGAATCTCCATCCACCAGGGCTGACATTTCAGGGCATGAGGTGGGAGCCCTGGCCCAGCTGTGCTTCTCACTCATGAGTGTGATGCGCTGCTTACACTCTGAGAGGCAGGGTTCTAACCCGTGAAGGGGGGACGCTGGCGGCAGTCAGAGCATTTAGTGAGGACTCCATGTGATGATGCACTCACTGTGCTTAGCATAGTCCTTGGCACAATAATGTTCAGAATTCTTTTGATGATGATGATGATGATGATGATGGTGGTGGTGGTGGTGGTGGTGGTGGATTTTGCCTGGGGCCCATTATCATCAAAGGCTTCTTTTACCCTTAAGACATCTTCAGGAGCCCTTGCTACAATCCTGCCATTTTGAGCATAAACCTTCATGTTGGGGTGTAAAGTCTGATTCTCACAAAAGTGAGAAAATCCCTCATTATGAGCTTCACAAGCTGACATTAAAAATAGCCTTGCCAGTCAGTAAGCTCATAGAAACCAGGCAGCATCTGGGACTCACTTGGGAAGCAGGGGTAAGGGGACAGGGGGGGGTGTCTACAGCTACATAAGTGTTCTCTTGGTGGCCAAGCCCTGAGAAGGCAGGGACTCCGGCTTCTTTGCTCATCACAGTCCCTGTGGCGTTCATCTCTCACGTGGGTTACTGCAGTACCTAAGTCCTTTTTTCCTTTTTGACTACTTTTCTCAAATTTACCCTCCATAATCAACCAAATGGACTCATGTCTGTGTCCTAAGGAAAGCCACCGTGCTCCCTGGTAGCATGAGCAAGGAAAGACAATCTCTTTGGCATGTCATATAAGGTCCTCCATGACCTTGAACTTGTCTCCCAGCCTGATTTCCTGCCACTGCCAAACCTCACATCCTACGTTCCATCCAACCTTAAGGTTCATCTTATATGATGCCCCTGGACATGGGATTATGGATGAATTCTCTAGGCTGGCCTTGTCTTCTGCAGTTCAGTAAACCACCTTCAGCCTCTGTCCCAGGGGACACAGGTACCATGCCCTCTGACAAAGCCAAAGTGGCCTGCCCATCCCCAAGCACACAGAATGGCATGGAGTGTTCATTCCCCTCAACTTCTTCATCGTAAAAAGTCTGACCTCATCCTCCAGACCCTGTTCAAACATCACTTTCTCGGGAGTGCATTTCCTGACTCTCCCTGGCAGAATCAATTGTGCACTGAGTGTTCTATCAATATTGGGAGCTCACTTTGACTATAACACTTGTCACATTATATTGCGGATGTCTGATGCATGTCTTCACCATCCCAATGTCTATGCTTTGAGCCCCTAGAAGGCAGAAACTTTCTGCTTCATCTTTACCAGCTCCTGTCACATAGAAAGCATTAAAAATAAAGCTCAGAGGCAAAGAAGGTGAGTGGCTTTCATCAGAGAGCTCTCCCAACGACTGCACATATAAAACTAGAGGCCCAGTGCATGGAATTTGTGCAATGGTGGGAGTGG